CTCGCATTTATTACATCCCCGTCTAGATAGAAGTCGTTTTATTTCTGAAAGCATTGAGAATTTCAATAATATGAGGTTGAATACTAGTTTGATAAAATATTTAAAAATATCAGATTCACGTACAACTAGGTTGGCGGGTCGACTTCACATGCATGTATGCTTTGGTATGAAACAAGTTAATTTTTTGCAACTTTAATGAAATAAGACCCAAATAATGCAAAGAAGGGGAAAACACAATGCATAATAATGAATCCATGCAGGCTACAGGTGGTTATTTTGATTGTAGATTGTTGTTGTATTTTGACCCAAGCTGAGTCGCGAAATGAAGACCATCCTTTTAGGGCCCCGTAGATACTAAATAATAAGTAGGTAAAAGTTCATTTTCAACGACCAAGCAAAGTCATATATAGCCAATCTGTATCAAGATACAATCAGGCGATTATATCGAAGAAGAACATTTCTTTTCAGAAGCATTTAGACAGGCGCAATGAAAGGATAATTCTCCTTCATGGCAATAATCAACGAAGTACAACTTAGTTCAGTCGTTCGGTTTGAGACGAATCTGTCAAGGCCGAGGGCAATCTAATCAAAGAGACATATTCTTGATAATGGGAGGCACAGGATCAAAGGACAACCGTTTCCCTGTAGTAGTGCATACGAGGGTCAATAAATGACTTCATCTGTAGTAAGGTTCTAATTCACCTTTGGAAACCTGAGAGTGCAAGCTTTAAGAATCATCGTTGTTGACCTCAACTGTTGGTTGTCGACTTACGGATTTACCTACACGTTTATGATCATATCATTTTAATATGAATAGTACTCAGAATTATTTACTTCAATTTTAAACTGGTCAATCATAAAACGTAGGTTAATTCGTCAGCCGATAGCCGGCGGTTGAAATCACGAATGGCTCTCAGAGACACTCGATCAGTATAATGTTAGAGGAAATCAAAGCTTTGAAAATCAACTGAAATTTCCTGTTTAAGAACCCTTATACTAGCCAAATAAGATATGCTCAGAAATAATTTCTACAAAATGAGGCTCACTCAACTAGCTTTGATCTACCCAGCATCTTCTCTCGTGGCGCAGCGCCCACTTCAACTGAAAAATGCGCCCACCTCAAAGTTTGTTTCCATAGTGGGGGAAAGTTATTTGTTTTAAATTGCTCCCTTTGGGGCTATTCAAGGGTAAAACATGTACTCACTTGTAAAATCCGATTTAGTGTCACCAGTAGCTTTGTTCTCTTGTTGATCGTCATCCAAGTCTTTACCTGCCATCTCAAATGCTTCCATATTTTCCCAAGAAGCACCAAGCTTTTCCTTCAAGTAAATGTCTACATCAATGGTAGTTTCATCTTGGATCTGATCTTTTGTTTGGAGGTCTGCAAGAACACATGTATATTTATGGGATATTTATGATCGATAGATAAACAACGGTAGTCTTCTTTCTAAATTAAAATGTGAAAATATTCAGCCTGTGCCGAAAAACGATGATGCTCCTCCGTCAAAAGTGTGAATTCAAATTACGTGTATTGTACAATTACTCGATGCTGGTATAGGTATCATTGTCAATATTAACCAGCCAGATGCAAGAGATCTAAATAGACTTTACGTTCTGAAAGGCTTTAGTAAATATATTTATGATACCATATTACTTTACATATATATGGAAACCAACTGTGTGACAAGTATTAGTTCAACATATATAAATCGTACCTTAAATATCGTATGCATTTACTGTTGAAATTTCGGCACTTGACGGTTGCCCATGCACCATTCTTTCAAAATTTGGCATAAATAAATTGTTCGAGGATGTTACTTTGTAATTTTCAGACTCTTAATTCAAACAATAAAGTTATGGTCAAGGGTATCTACCAAATATTGAGATAGTTTGAAATAATGCGACCTTCATTTCAGTAAAACAACTTTATCTTTACATTCAATTCAACTTATTTTCAGTAATTGTTGAAAACAAGTTCTACATTACGACATGTCGTAATGAAATGGTATTTTTACTCACCTGCAACATCCGGTCTAAATCCACCTAGAGCTCCCACTAGTTGGTCGCTATCAATGTCTTCACCTGCTGCATCAATTGCTTTAATATTCTGCGACTGAGACGTTCTTTTCCCATCAGCATTTACCGCTGCTTCATCTTTGCTTTGATTCTTTGAAGGAATTTCTAGAGTAACATTTTTATTCGAAATATTTCAGTTAGGTTCATAAATAAAATAAACATTTCTTTACCACAGAACGCCATTTAATTACCATATTTATCGTCCCACTTCAAACGGACACTATACAAAACACACATTGAATTGAAAACATTATTTGAATAATGTTCATGATTTTTATGATTAAACTGTCTCATATAAATCCAAAAATGATTGTTCCCCTCTCAAAATCAATTGTTAATCAAAAGTGATTTTAGCCAGGCATCCACAAATTTGAATCAACAAACAACAGCCTTTAGCAGCACATTGTCCATTAACATTGCTGCACAAAGTTCAATATTCTTAAAACAATATTCTTGGAGTATTCTGCTATTCGTAATAAGCATGTGAGGCGTCAGTTCACTGTTAGTACTTAAGATGTGCATCATAAAGTTTCTGTAACCATCTATGCATATCACGTAAAAAGACTCCGGAAGTTCAAAGGAATGGCATACGAAGAATCGGAAAACGAAGTAAACGTGTCAACAATTGCTATACTTACGATGGCCTGTATACAAAAATATATTCGGTAACTCGCCAGATGTTTCCACATCAATTGCCTCTCTTACTGTTACATCTTTAGTCGTGTCATCTTTATCTCTCGTCTCTTCAAGCTGCCCTTTTATCTTAACTTTCGATAGGCCTAGTTTTTCCAGATTAGTACTAATACAAGTCAATTTTTGATCGATCGTAGATGCTGATGCTCCACCATCCTTGTCTGATGAACCATCATCTTGGTCTTGTACCCCTGCAATAACCATTAGAGTAGTCAGTTTATTGAAAAACCTGGCATAGCCTAATGTATTGATGGGATAGTTGTTAGGTCGTTTCATGCAATGTATGATTTTCGTGAGAGACAGTCACATATTATGAGAAATATATATGCATGCATACATTCAAACTAGTCATTACGAAGAACGTGGAGCTCACCTTGATCCCAAGACAGACACTGTTGCACCAGCTCGCCATCTATAGTTAGCGTCACTTGAACGTAAGTCTCATTATATTCCTTTCTAAGGTCTTCTGGAATTAACTCTGTTATAAGTTCCAAAGTTAACTCCCCGCTGTGGAAATCCTCAATCAATTTTGCGGCTAGTCTTCGATCCACGATCTTCAACTGAAGTACTATAGATTCAAAGTAGAAGTCAAGAAAGTCAACTCCATACCGGCGTCTCATTCTTCTCTCTACTGTTTGTCTTTTATGAAGCTCCGATAAAGCCCCATATATCTTGTGTGAAAACTTTGCGGAGCCCCTGCCTGTAGACTGTCTCTGTCGTAAAACGTGTGCGTCGTTTAAGCGCATCTTTTCTAAAGTTGTCAGCACAATTCGTAGAGTTTCTGTATGGTGCAACAGAAATGTTATAGGCACAATATGTCATGACAAAATATTCAATTGGATTCGCTTTAAATTGTTCGGTTGTTCTATCAATAATAGTATAGTAGTACACTTATACTGTGTGTACTGTGGTTTTCTTTTATGTTTGCACAACTTAGTATGATGCCTTGTTGCCAGCCAAAGCCCATCTGTCTATCTGTCCGTCTGTCCGTTTTTCCGTCCAACCATCTGTTCGTGCGCTCGTCCTTCTGTTCGTGCGTTTGTTTGAAATATGGAATTCATGATTTAATTTGAGAAAAACGATGGTCAGAATGGTCAATAAACATGGCCTGAAACTGACCCATACTATTCAATTATTCTGAGACGCATTACTGGACTCGACTATATTTTCTTAAGGCTCTGTACATGTGGTTGTGGAGGGGAGATAAGATGCAGTGATGTTAACATTTTGTTATTTCATTCATTTTCTTATGTTATTAATGTAGATAAAACTCCAGTTAGGGGGTCTTCCATTTATTTTGATGTATGATTCATTCGAATTGAAATAAAACACAAACTAAACTAGAAAACGACATGTAGGTATATAAAAATGGTATTAACAATTAATCTAAGGATGTACAATGTAAAAATGTTACAAAAATCAGGTACCAGTATAAAATCAACAGTATAGTATGATATTGGTATTATACATTATCGATAGATGAGTAGTTTTTTATATGAAGATTTGAAAATATTTAGAGTGGAGCATTTTTTAATATCATGTGGTAGAGCATTCCAAAGATTAGGACCCAGATAGCGAAGGGAAAGTTTAGAGCATTTAGGGATATGAAAATAATGCAATTGTCTTGTGTAATGATGATGAATATTAATGTTGATATCAAATAAGTCTTGAAATAGATTTTTTGGAAGACTGGGGTGCTTATTAAAGATTTTGTACATGAACTGACCAGTACAATATCTGTTGACATCAAAAATATTTAATATTCCAAGATCTTTAAATAGGGGAGCGGAGTGAGAAAGTCTATCCTTATTTAAAGCTAGCCTTAAGAATTGTTTCTGCAGTTTATGTAGACGATCATAAAATGATTTAAATGTGTTACCCCAGATTATGTTGGAATGATTTAATTGAGAGTGTATCAATGAGTAGTAAATTGTTTTGAAACTGTCTATTTGAAGTAGATGTTTAATGTGATAAAGAGAACCAATGACGCGAGAAATCTTTGTTTCGACAGATTTTATGTGCTCTTTAAATTTCAAGTTTTTATCAATAATAATTCCAAGAAAGTCAATTTTTTCCCGGAAATTTATGTTCTCATTGCGTATTTTAAGATTCAGATTTGTTTGATTTTTTTGGGGTCCAAATAGAATAGCATTGGTTTTGCCAATATTAAGTGAAAGTTTGTTTGCTTTTATCCAGTCATCTATTGAATTCAAGTTTGCATTAGTTCTAGTCATAAGTTCATTTAAATCATAATCACTATCAAGAAGATTGGTGTCATCAGCAAACATAATAAATTTTAGATTAGGGGCAACGAAAGGCAGATCATTTATGTAAAGAATAAATAATAGTGGTCCAAGTACCGAGCCCTGCGGAACACCACAATTTAGAGATGATTGTTTAGATTCATAGTTGTTAATGGTGACATATTGTTTGCGGTCTTTTAAATAACTTTCAAACCAGGACTAAGCTATTCCTCTGATGCCATAATATTCAAGTTTTTGTATCAAAATGTCATGATTTATTGTGTCAAAGGCCTTGGAAAAATCTAATGTTATGCCAATGCTCGTTTTCCCCAAATCAGTTGATTTTCGAATTTGTTCAATACTATAAATACTTTATATACAATATAATAAATACTTCAAATAATATAAAATGTGATACTTACAAAATTGATTAACCATTGCTTCTAAGGAAAATGGTATATTTTGATATTTTTCGATTTTCAAGGGGAAAAACTTCGCGAGCTATACTTTTAAGAGGTGAGAAATGTTTTAGGATGACTTTGGATATCAGATCAATTTTACGGAAATCAATAAGCCAATTCTGACCCCCTTTGACTGAACTGTTAGTATAGTACTAGTCGTGTAGTATGTAGTCTATGAGTAGATACATGAACTAATAGATTTTAATCACATATTAATGCTAGCCCACCACGAAGAAACTGTTACAAATAGCAAAAACAATCTCCATTCTGAGATGAAAGAATACCTATATCGTTTTTAGGAATTGTAAACGTAATATCTTGGCCCAACATTGTACACGTGTATCCGATTTTCATAAAGTCGCATCGTTCCTGTGTAAATGATTCTATGGATGAGGGTATGCTGGCCGTAGGTTGTCGAGGTTCTGTAAATAATCAAAATTAAAACTATGAGCATGTATTTCATATTTTCATGTCTGCCTCTATGAAGCAACACCACTCAAAATAAGATGCATAAGGTTTGTCGACATGTCTTAAAGGCCGGTTTTAAAGTTGCTAGCAACTCCCATTAAAATAGTTACATCCACACTTTAACATGGTTCAGAAAGTCAGGATTAGTAAGTTTAATTAACAGCATTGCTTAATACTAGATTTTGAATGGCTTAACTCGTGGACTTTTAAATTTGAAAAATGTTATTATTGTTTCTAAATGTCTTATCACAACCCAACAAAATGAAAAAAGTCAAAATTGAATAAACTCCAGAATATAACCATCAAAACATTGTAAGATACCATAGCAAAATAAGAAGCAATATATTTTTTCGATCAGTATGAAATTATAGAAAATTGACCAGCTTTTTGAAAATATCAAAAATACAGCTATTTTGGCTGTTCCATTAGTCTGCCTCCTATTTATACCCCAAGTCCCTCTTTAAGTGACACAAGTCGTTTTGATATTAAACTACCTATTAGAAAAGAAAATTCAAAATCTCATAGGAAACCATATCCAGAACTTCCATATCTCCCGCTCCAGGATCTTTCAAATGTGAAAAATCCACTGGGTATTTAGTATGTATAATCAGATCGGGCAAAAACTCAATACTATTTAATTGACGGCCCTCTCTAATATAACACTGATTTTAAAATACTTTCATGTGGAATTGGAAATGCAGGGATTACTTTTCACAATTGTCCCTGGATGGATAGTCATATAATATATATTTTTGAAAAGTAGACAAACACCAGTGGATTGAGTGTACATTTCATTCTTGATTTTCAATATGAATTTTATTCCAGGGTAATATGATATTGACCAAGGGAAATATGATATTGACCGAACGAGCGTATACAGTAAAGTATCAATTTTGCACTAATATTAGCCATGTCTTAAAAATTGTGCACTTGGAATTTGACAAGATGGCGTCGGATGTAGTCGATGTTGTTTCACGCTCCTGTTTTTCAGAACTAGATCCATGTATGGAGAGACTGTTAGATCAATATGAGTTCAGACCGCGCAATGAAATCGCGGAGAACCTTTCTATGGCCATGGATTATGATGAGCCCCTGATTCATAATCATATCATAATCATAATTTATTTACACCTGGATTTTCAATAGAAAATATGTATAGGTGACCCTGAAGGGGATGATTTGCAAATAGCTTTAAATTATATTAGTCCTTAGTAGAGAGTCCTTTTTTGAAAAGTTTAATTGATGGGCTAGGAAAGATAGTGTCATCTAGCTTATTCCATTTATTAATGGTCCTTGGTACAAAGGAGTATTTGATGTCTTTGTTGCAAGAATATGTGGTGAAGTTCACAGTATCATTTATGACGTGTCATATATCTGAGGGGAGTAAAGAAATCTGAAGATGTGAATTCAACTTTGTTGTCTACTATTTTGTACATGAGTGAAAGTCATAGGGTATAGTCATTTGCAATGTTCTTGCGTTTGCGACTTATGCGTAATATGACACTTCTTGGCATTAAATTGCATTTGCCACATGGCTTGCACAAGTCTTGTTTCAAGTCTGCGGAGGTCTTGTTGCAGACTTTGGCTATCTCAAGCATTATTGATCTCTCTGTACATGAGACAATCATCGACAAATAGTCTGATGTTAGAAGTTCCAAGAGCCTTCTGAGATGTCATTCATGTACAGTAGGAACAGGAGGGGGCCGAGAACGGTTCCCTGGGGTACACCAACTTGTAACAGTAACAGGAGAAGACTTAGCTCCTTACAAGATAACCCTCTGGGTCCTGTCGCTGAGGAAACCTTCGACCCAAGAATTTGTGGTTCCAGTTATGCCATAGTTATTGAGTTTTAGTAAGGGACGCTGGTGTGCCACCACGTCAAAGGCTTTCATAAAGTCAAGAACAATGGCATCAATTTGTTTGTGGTTATCTAGTGAGTTAGCAAGATCGTGTATTGTCAACATGAGTTGTGTTTCACAAGATTTCACGAGATCTGTAACCATGCTGTAACGTGTAATTGCACTCCTCAAGATGTTTCATTATGTGACTATGCATAATGTGTTCAAGGCACTTACAGGATATGCAGGTAAGGGAAATGGGTCTGTAGTTTTTGGTTTCAACCCTGTTTCCCTTCTTGAACACTGGTGATACGTGCGTGTGCAAAACGCCAGTCGGGTGGGAGTTCTCCGGATTTGATTGAGATGTTGAACACAGTACAGGTGTGGAGGGCCTAGTTCAGTCGCATAGGTTTTAAGGATGCGAGGTGGGATTTCGTCTTGACCAGGGGCTTTAGAGTGATTCAGGTCTCGGAGGATGTTTTCAACGCCAGATGGGGTAACAATCAACTCTGGGATTTGTGGGAATGTTTGAGGTTCAACTGTGGGTAAAGTTAGATCCTCCTCAGTGAACACGCTTTTAAAGAAGGTGTTAAGGGCATCTGCCTTTTGTTGTGCTGATGTTACAAGTACAGATGACGCAGGACAAATCCCAAAGCGCCAGGGATTTGAAGTCATGCCGGGGAAAAGTACATCACTCCTATAAGAGGATTAGGCAGATTTGATTTTGTTTCTGGCGCTTCGTTGGATCTTCCTG